TGTGTGTGTGTGTGTGTGTGTGTGTGTGTGTGTGTGTGTGTGTGTGTGTGTGTGTGTGTGTGTGTGTGTGTGTGAATGAATGAATGAATGAATGAATGAACGCACAGATACGCACTGTTACAGACTAAATAACAGACAACATTTCGTTGACTCGTTTTGGATAAAGTTTTTACTCTAAAATAGACATCAAATAAGCTTTTTTTAGGAGTTTCTGCTCATATGTTAAATATATAGTATGTTTTGTCAATAAACTACCGTAATCAACTAAGATGTTATAGTGTTTGTTCAAGCTATATCAAAATAATGAATCCTCAACTTTGAAATATGTATGATCAAACTAAGACATTTATGGAGAAAGACAATTTTCTTTTCAAGATGTTTCCAACTCTAACTTTAAACTTTGAACTGAAATAAAACCATGTCTATATGGTGAAGGGTGTGTGATAGAAGTGTCCAGACGTATGCACGCTGTATTTTCCTTATATAAATCCAAACAATCTAAAAGCCATTCTTTTTTAAATCTCCTCATTCTTTGTGCAAGGCTCCTGTAATGATATGGCCTGATAGCACCTAATAGGGCCATTATGGGGAGGGTCTTTGTCTTTCTCAGGTGTGGAATGCCACACATATTAATGAGAGATCACGCCTCCCCACATAAAGCTTTCTCAAACAAAACACGTCATTAAAAATGTAAAAGACTTTATTGACTTATCTGAATGAGTAGTCAGGATGATTCTCACATAGTTTTGGAGCAAATATTCTAGGCTATGTGATACAATTTTCAAAAGTCTTGTGAAGAAATAATCAATATGTGTTTTGTGGTCTTATTTCAGCAACTTTCATTTTTATTTTTTTCAATAACCACGCATAAACATTATTCTATTAAAAATACAAACATGTACATACATGTTGCTCAGATCTCATGGTAGCCAAGTTTGTGCTATATAGAGTGAATTTACACCTTTGCCATTAACATGTTTATAAATAACTGAAAAAAGCACAAATGTCAGTGCATGTCAAAACATCCCAAGGGCCCCAAAAACACTCTGGTCCCCAGAGGGTTAAACGTCGAATTGCAGATAACTTAATGATCGCTTTAGGACACTCTTACTGGCTGTGAAGGTTCTTGAATGTCTTCTCACCCACAACCAAGAAAATGTTTGTATGTGATATTGCCAAATTTTAGAAGAGTCTCTTTGATAATTCTGAGAATTGGATGGAGCTGTAACCAGTGTGCATAAGGTGTCGACCTAAAGACGGGTAAGATTCTACGATGGCCATAGGGGGACAACCTAAACCAGGGCTTCACCGCCACTGGGCACCTGCCCGATAGAGAAGGGAGGTGTAATCTGTGAGAAGGGAGATGTGATGCTTCTTTTGGGCCAAGAGCATCAGAGAGGGGACTGTAAGAAATTTTAGTCTGCCTAGACCCAGATTCCACTCCAAAATATATTTTAGAATGAGCTCATCCCCAAAATGGCTTAATAATTATCATCGAGTATTATCCCTGTGTCTCATCCCATCCCTGTGTTTCACCATCCGGTCTTCACCATACCTGTATCCAGGGGCGTCATGCAAGCCAAAATTCTGGGGGGGCACAATCTGAGACGTTGCAATTGTTTTCTGACGGGTGATATGGATCATGTTAGGAGGGGTCAGGGGGTTTCTCCCCCTGAAATTTTTTTTAAATTCTGGCTGCTAAACATACCATTTCAATGCAGTTTGGGAGGGACAGAAATACCTTAACGGAGCTAGCAGCAACACTCCTCTATCTGATTCTGAGGACTAAGTTAAAGTATCTATTTTGTAAGTTTATGTAAAAGACAGGTTGATGAAAGAACTGTAAGCTCAAATTCAAAAGCTTTTTAAGTCTACTTCATTAAAGCATGTTTACACACACACTTACTGTACACTTAGGCCTACTACACATGATTTTAAAAACACATTGCAGTTTTTATGTTATGATTTTAAATTGGTATGTGACCTAAGAACGATCTTACATTAAAGGTAGCCAACATAAAAGTGCTGAGGTCTGACTTTGTGGTGCTCTGAAATTAAGTTATTTTAATATTAATATGTGATGAAGGACTTTAAAAAAAGTTTGACAGATTTCAGTGCTGAATAAGGTTAACACTACCCCGTTTATTTGAAAATGGTTAATATTTGACAGAAATGTAAAAAAGTAATCAAATCAAATGCAATATGTATAGCGATCGGTATAACAACTATGCTGTAGGGATTTGGGGGGTAGTCCTACTATGATATTAGACTACATTAAAAGATAATGAATTTCAAACCTGAACCAAACATATTTTTTAATTCAAAGATCAAAGTCTGTCATTAGTCTTTAGTCTGCCAAAAAAAAAAAAACCCATTAAAATCATGAACTCATATGTCATTGTGAAAAAAAAATGTGTTACTGTTGTAACAGTGTGTAGGCTAAATCAGACCTTTCAGGCTATAGCCTAACGCTAATAAGCCTTATGGCAAAATTATTATTACAACTAAATTGTCGGTCATTAAATAGGAAAACTAAATAATTTTGTAGATGATTTGCTTTGTGTAGGCCTAACCCGACATCAGACATTATAAGGCCCGGACGAAGTTTTTTTTTGCACACAGTGACGCGACCAATCAATCACTCCTTTAATGCTACGTTCACACCACACGCGAATAGCGCGTCAAATTCGCGCCTACCGCGTCTAGTTATAGCCTACGCGTGAACACTTTGAATCCATTCGCGCGTCAAGAGCAAATGACGCGCGTAAAAAAACTAAAGTTTAGACTGGCTGCCTGCACATTCACTGTCCTCGCGGCTGCGGCTGCTGCTGCTGCAATTGGAAGGGGCTGGCTGCAGGACGACTCAACTTCCACGGACAGTTTTAATATTTTATATCAAGATTTTGCTTTAGTATAATTTTCGGGACAATTAAGGCCGGTTTCGGGATTCGGGACAACAGCTTAGATTTGGGGACTGTCCCGAATTTTTCGGGACTTCTGGTCACCCTGGGGAGGAAAAATCTGAGGGGGCACGTGTCTCCTCACTTTGAATGGGCATGACGCCACTGCCTGTATCCAGTCGTCCTGCCATCACCATCCCTTCGCCTCATCTTGTCACCATCCCTCCTCTTCTGCCTCCCCGCATCGTTCCATCATCTCCTCGTCCCCCTCCAGAACCCCCCCCCCCCCCCCCCAAGCCTCCCATTGTGTGTCTCTATAGAATAGAATAGAATAGAATAGAATAGAATAGAATAGACTTTAATTGTCATTGTGCAGTAGAACCATACAACGAAATTTGCTTGTGCAACCTCTAAAACAATACTCACTTTCATAAACACACTCACACAATAAATACAATAAAATAAGAAAATATAAAAAACTTTATCAGGGCATCCAACATTTCACTGAAGTCCCATTGCATAGAGTCCCTATCTAGAAAGTGCAGCTGTGCTGACACAAATGACTATTATTATGGCGCATACTATTATGGCGCAAGGCCGCGCCTTGTGGAAAGTAGCGTTCTGTCACCACTGTGGACTTTTGGACTATGGACTTTTCAGTTAGTTTGTCACATGTTCCTTTGTTCAGTTTCCCGCCACTAGTCTGTCTCCCTGGTTACCATCATTAGCTCATCTGTATCACCTGTGTCCTATTAATTACCATTATCTGTGTTTGCTATTTAGTTCCTCCTGTTCACTCTATCTTTGTCCATCTCCGTTAGCTATGGTTGTGTTTATCCTGCCTGCTTGGAGAACTTAAATTAAACTAGATGTATATTGATCTGTTTGTCTTCGTCTTGCTATATCTAAGCCAACCGTGACAGCTGCCAGAAAAGTCTAAAAAATACACACACACAAATCCAAGGCGATTCACACTTGAATGACGATTTGCACATTCACATTCAAGGTTCAACTCGTAAATTTTGAACATTCGAAGGTTTTTGTGCACAGTTGTAAGTAGTTATAACCAGGCACCTCCTGTCAAAATGATTGATTGACAGGTGGGCGTGGCTATCCTTTGATCTGGCCCCGCCCCTTCCGGTTCCTCCCCTTCCTGACCCGCCCCTTGTCCCGCCCCTTCCGGTTCCGCCCCTTCCGGTTCCGCCCCTTCCTGTTACCTTTGACCTAGTTCCGCCCCTTCCGGTTAAACTTTCTGTCAAAATGATGGATGGTGACAGTTAGTTTGATCGTTTGAAGTTAGTTTGATCAAGAAAAAGGGGCGTATAGGATGTGTGACAGTTAGTTTGATCGTTTGAAGTTAGTTTGATCAAGAAAAAGGGGGTATAGGATGTGTGACAGATAGTTTGATCGTTTGAAGTTAGTTTGATCGTTTGAAGTTGGTGTTTTGTCAACACATCCCCATCCATAACCCTGAGCTTATCACGGGCAGTTGTGAAAGTGATAAGAAAAAATTGTGGAAGTTTATCTGTTCTGTAAAAAGAATATAAAATAAAATCTTACTAAAACCTCACACAAAAAGTTTAAAATAAATGTAGAACTATTCACTGAACCAAGCATTTCAGTTTAAATAAAATGGAGCCACAAAAATATTCCAAACAGTTAAAAAAATGTATTAGAGAGTTGAAGAAAAAAAACGTACAGTTTATGTAAAACCTCACAACAAAAAGTTTAAATAAAATGAAGGCACAAAAATATTCCAAACAGTTAAACGTTTTAGAGAGTTGAAGAAAAACATACAGCTTATGAATCAATTCAAATGTATAAATGATCTCACTCTGCCTCAAAACATAGGGAGCGCGCGTCTGTGTATTTCCCCCTCCCTCCCACTCCCACTCCCACATTGCTAGGGACGCTGGAATTTTATCTGACTAAAGTTGAAAAAGCATTGTGTTAATTTAAAATTATATAAATAATATAAAATAAAATATATAATACAAAATAAATGTCTTACTGAACCAATTATTTCAAAATAAATAAATAAATACATCTTGCATGTTTTACAGAGTTGAAGAAAAAAATCAACACAGGTAGTGCCTGCCAGCATGGACAGTGTGCATAACAAATAAGTGATATCATCGCTGTTTTCGTACCACCGGTATTAAATTACTTTTAATTCATAAGACTTATTTTCAGGAGTGACAGTTATCAGTGAAATATGGCGCTCGTGTAATCAAAAGGTCTGCCTACCCCCTGGGAATGTGAATTGGCCTTGAACCTAAACACTTCCATTCATAGAGTACTGAAAGAATATAGTGGACACACAGCTCTGCCGTTTTCACATAGTTTTCCACAGGCTCTTACTGTAAAAGGCTATAAAATAGCCAAGACACATGGACGTGTGCCATACCCCATGTCTGGACCAAAAACTTTTGCACCCTCTCTTCTTTGACCACCTCATCAAAAATGCAAAACAGTGAGTATTTTCTCTATAATTAATTTATGCTACGGTGTTTTAAACAATGCTATTGCTGTTTATCTGTATGCAATGATGTTTAATTTGAAAAATTGTTTATACATAAGGAAAAGACGGTATAATTCATTAGTGTTTTAAATAGCCTAGGCTACGTATTTGTTTTATCCGCATTATGCTATTGGTATTTTTATCTGCTGTAACTGGTGATACAGATATTTTTATCTACTATATTAATTTATCAATTTATCATAAAGTATGATTTAAAAAATGTACAACATTGTTTATGTTCATTATGCTATGGTTTTTTTAAACCATATCACAAAAGTATCAGTTTAATATAACTGTTTTACAGCAATGTTTATTTTGCATTATGCTATGTTGTTTTAACTGTTGTATTTTTTATCTGATGTAACTAAAATCTGCAACATCGTTTATTTAAGCTGTGGGATTTCCATAAAGGACCTTAAAATAAATGTTTTGGTTTTTATTCAGTTTTAAATCTTATTTAGATTATTTTAGTCAGACATGCTTATATGTGCATAGGCCTATTTTATTCCTCTTCAGTTACTTACTTTTAAAATTTTGGTAGGCTACTTTTTAATTCATATTTTAATTCAATTTTTAATTTACTCTGTCTTTGATTTTAACTTTTAGCAATTTGCATGATAAATTGTTTAACATGTAAGCTATATGAATGACACTGTCACAATGTGATAAGCAAAACATATAAAAGTCAAGTCAAAGCTATTTATTTAGGCTAGCGCTTTTCATTGCCATTTAAAATAACATGGTCTTTCCTTCTTTCTCTCTCTCTCTCTCTCTCTCTCTCTCTCTCTCTCTCTCTAGAGACAGCAAACACTGCAGGACAATCAGGCATCCAAGTAACATGTTAGTGTGGTTTATATTTTATTTTTAATGAGAAAACATTATAGAGTGCAACAGGCGGTTTCTGGAAGTAAAAACATTTACTTTCTCCATACGGAAATTAATTTTAAAGACAGACCTACTGTTGGCTAAGAGGTTGTTAAAGGGATAGTTCGGCCAAAAATGATATTTAAACCATGCATTACTCACCCTCAAGCCGTTCGAGATGCATATGTAAATCTTGTTTCAGACGAACACATTTTCAGTTATTTTAGAAAATGTCTTAGACCCTTCAGTGGATATAATGTGAAGCAATGGGGTCCACCTCCTTCAAGTCCCAAAATGTGCATATATCCTTCACAAAAGTAATCCATCCGGCTCCAGGGGGATAAACGAAGGCCTTATGAGGGTAATCCGTGCGGTTTTGTCGTAAAAATATACATATTTAAAACTTTATAAATGAAAATATCTGACTTCCGGCAACGATCGACGCGCGTCCACGGGTGATGGAAGTCAGCGTACGAGGTAGGACGTAGCGTCGTGACGTAGAACGAACGCGCCCGCGCAGCCAGAGAGCAGAGCAAAACATCACCCGTGAACGCGCGTCGATCGTTGCCGGAAGTCAGATATTTTCATTTATAAAGTTTTAAATATGTATATTTTTACAACAAAACCGCACGGATTACCCTCATAAGGCCTTCGTTTATCCCCCTGGAGCTGGATGGATTACTTTTGTGAAGGATACATGCACATTTTGGGACTTGAAGGAGGTGGACCCCATTGCTTCACATTATATCCACTGAAGGGTCTAAGATATTTTCTAAAATAACTGAAAATGTGTTCGTCTGAAACAAGATTGACATATGCATCTCGAACGGCTTGAGGGTGAGTAATGCATGGTTTAAATATCATTTTTGGCCGAACTATCCTTTTAATACATGGTATTTGCTTCTGATAAAGCCTTCAGCTTATTTCTTTTGTAAATAATCGTGTTTCACAGTTGAACTCCTGGTGAAAACTACATTACCCATGAGCCATGATGCTGTAGTGAAAATTATGTCAAACAAAGTTTAAAAAAAAAAGCAACCCACTCCAAAATAGCTCTGCCCACTCCCATGAAGCACTGCGAATGACATAATCTCCCTACCCTCTCAAAATACTGAAATGTTTGTATAAGCTATATATGCACATTTTGCATATTTATATAAATATATTTTTTTTTAAATCACTATGGGAAATAAGAATGAAAAAGGGGGGAGGCACTGTTGCACTCTATGTATAATGAACAATTGACAGATGAACTGACAGATATTTTATGTAAACAGGCAAAATCTCTGCATCTGATGATGGCCATGTGTTTTCGCCGATCATAACTGCTTCAAGCTCCTTTGAGATCAATATGACTTCTGCCAAATCAAATGTGCCGGCAAATTGTAAGTGCAATACACGAGAAACTATTAAAACAGTTTTCGCCTATGTATAAAATTAATCTCAATTAAGCAGTCGTAGTTAACTATTTGGGACCAATTTTAAGGAAGGCAATACAGAATTTTTTTTATGTTTTTGGGACTATTGGATCGAGTTTTGTAGAATAAGCCAAGATTAATTTATTTTATGTGGTGTAATGCTCCTGGATTATTCAGACTCAGAATTGTAACTATTACTATAGCCTTTATCAGCCATTTATTTTACTGCAGACTTATCAAACTTATTTATTTACTGCTGATTTTATCAAAGCCAAATACTGTCCAAAAGGGGATACTGGGAAAGAAGAGAAACAGGTTAATACAAGGTTAGATTCAATCTTTATATTCTTCCCCATTTTGCCTTCATTTTCCTTTTCCTGTTATTGTTTTAATTTTTATATTCTCAGATCATCAAAGGTTTCTGAAAGCAAACACCAGTCAGTTGGTTGAAAAAGTGAAGAACATTGATCAATAATTGACAATCTTGATTGCTCAATGAATCAGTTACAAATGTGCGAGCGAATCCAACACACCAGATGAAGATGAGGGAACTGCTGGACTGTGTGAATTGTGAAAGCATTGCCAACGACCTGGTCAACGCTTTGTTCAAGCATGAAGAATCTCTCATGAAGAAACTGCAATAACAACTGTTGTAGCCTATTGTTTGGCATTATGTAATTAAACAGTTTTTAAAAAAAGAAATGTTTTTAATAATTGATTGGTGATGGAGTTTTAATTTTTGTATTGAGAACCAAGTATATTGTACAAGTAAGAAGATACCAAACTGGCCATATAATGATATATTGCACATAATAAACAATGGCAAAGTTTGTATTCCTTAAAAAACAGGCAATGTTTGAGAACCCATATAATGGTGTAATCTCTGCGAGGTCTCAACCACAAACGCAAAACTTTGTGGTGGGTGATACGGGCATAGCTTTACTAAAGGAAAATATTCTGGAAGTAATTTTCAAACTAAATTTTATTTATTTATATTATGGTTTTCATGTTGATTTAAAGTTTTTGTTATTAACTATTACCTTTACTTCAACATCCAGCACAAAATTAAAGAGATGAATGATCTAAGGATGTTCTCTGACCCCAAATAAACAGATAATGGAATGTTCACAAGCTACAGTTAGATATTATTCTGCTTAGTATGTGTGTAAATAGTTGTGCTTAAATGTTTGGATGTATTTTTACACGCCAACATATTTTGTCACACCGTAGTGATGCAAAGTTCCACACTCTTGTAAAGACTATGGTCTAACTTTAAAACATAATCTTTATACATGAATTCAAAAGACCAAATCACTAAGAAAAGCACCGTTTATAATAATAAATACACAAAAGTTCACAGTTGATGGTTTTATTAGGGCCCAAGCCCTAAAAGGGCGCAGAGCCCTATTGTTCTTCTAAGGATTATTAGGGCCCAAGCCTTGAAAAGGCGAAGGCCCTATTGTTTTCCTTAGGATTATTATTATTATTAGGGCCCAAGCCTTGAAAAGGCGAAGGCCCTATTGTTTTCCTAAGGATTATTAGGGCCCAAGCCCTGAAAGGGCGCAGAGCCCTATTGTTCTTCTTAGGATTATTTTCTATTCTTTATTAGGGCCCAAGCCTTGAAAAGGCGAAGGCCCTATTGTTTTCCTAAGGATTATTTATTATTTAGGGCCCAAGCCTTGAAAAGGCGAAGGCCCTATTGTTTTCCTTAGGATTATTATTATTAGGGCCCAAGCCTTGAAAAGGCGAAGGCCCTATTGTTTTCCTAAGGATTATTATTATTCTTCCGACTTATTATTAGGGCCCAAGCCTTGAAAAGGCGAAGGCCCTATTGTTTTCCTAAGGATTATTATTATTCTTCCGACTTATTAGGGCCCAAGCCTTGAAAAGGCGAAGGCCCTATTGTTTTCCTAAGGATTATTATTAGGGCCCAAGCCTTGAAAAGGCGAAGGCCCTATTGTTTTCCTTAGGATTATTATTATTATTATTAGGGCCCAAGCCTTGAAAAGGCGAAGGCCCTATTGTTTTCCTTAGGATTATTATTAGGGCCCAAGCCTTGAAAAGGCGAAGGCCCTATTGTTTTCCTAAGGATTATTAGGGCCCAAGCCTTGAAAAGGCGAAGGCCCGATTGTTTTCCTAAGGATTATTAGGGCCCAAGCCCAAAGGGCGAAGGCCCTATTGTTTTCCTTAGGATTATTTATTATTAGGGCCCAAGCCCAAAGGGCGAAGGCCCTATTGTTTTCCTTAGGATTATTTATTATTAGGGCCCAAGCCCAAAGGGCGAAGGCCCTATTGTTTTCCTTAGGATTATTTATTATTCTTCTTATTATTTTTTTACTACCTTTTGGACACTTTTGGAGGCCTTAACATGCTCAAAAACTCCTGAAACTTTGCACACATGTCAGAACCCGCGGCCATCAGGGCCGGGCTGAAGATGGTACCCGGGCGTGGCAGGGGGGCTCGACAGCGCCCCCTGGAACGGGGTCCGAAAACATGGTCCATAAATCAAACACGCTTGCATGTAATAATATGAAACTTACACATGTAGATCTCCTCGTTTCATATATACTTCACACTCTTACTTTTTACCCCAGCCCAACAGGAAGTCGGCTATTTAGGGTTGTTGGTAAAACACACGCAATGGAATGTGAAATACTCCTCCTAGAGAATTCAAACAAACGGCACGAAACTCGGTCAGCATGAAGTCAAGACACTGAGGATGAAAGTTTGCGAGGGGATTTTTGATATCTCGAACGGTTTGGCCGTGGCGAGGAAACAAAATTATGGCGAGAAACGTGAAACAGGAAGTGTGTCATAACTACTGCATACATTAACTGATCTTGATGAAACTTCAACAGTGTGTTCGTTGTAAGAGCCCGATCACATGGATGTGACTATTGTGAGTCAAAGTTATAGCGCCACCAACTGGCAGCAGGAAGTGTGTCACTTCCTAAATGCTTTGAAATCACCCTCTTATTTTTACCCGATTTGCTTCAAACTTTATGTGTATAATGTAAACACACGGCAGATGTAGACCTGTGAAAGGATTATTGATATCTTAGATACTGTTGCCGTGGCAACACATCAAACTTTAATATTCTTGTTTGATGCTTTTGAGACACTTAGCATGCTTGAAATTGCATGAAACTCGACAGACACAGGTATGCATATGGTTCAGATCAAGCCGGACAACTTTCTAATTAACTGTCATTAGCTCAGACCAAGAGGAAGTTAGATATTTTGGTTTGAATGTGGATGTTTCTGAGAATTTTCTCTCCCTCTCCCTCTGACAGAGAGAATGCACCCTGCCATTCGTGTGTGTCTGTGTCTGTGTCTGTGTGGGGAGGGGGGGAGGGGCTCTTTTAGTTTAAACACAAAATTATACATAGGGCCATACTGCCCTCTTGTGTCCAAAATTATATTTATATATACATTATACATATATTTGGTATGTGACTGAGGACCGAGAGCTTTTAAATACGGGACATTGATAATGGCCACGTGCAGAGCGCTCGAGGGAATTCCTATGGAAGTAGGAATGAACTAAAAAACGTTCGCTCAGCTCTGCTCGCTCGTCGCCATGGACGCGCACCATTATGAATGCCAGTGCAGCCGCATACTTTTTAGTGTCACTTTAAAATTAGTGCAATAACGGGGCCGATTGCTTGAATTGTGAGTTCAATAGTCTATTATTTTTCACGGAAAACACAACAACAAAAGAGTACAATGATAGATTCGCTTAAATAGGGGCTTTTACATAAAATAGCCTATTCCGTCATCATCTTTTCAGTCAGCTCTTCACTCTCGTGATTAATGAAATTTGACTCCTGTTGCTGATATTTGCTGCAACTTTCGTTCCGCTCACAATTTAGTAAGCAAACACGCTTCAAATGTGTTTTTATTTTATTTTTGTGTATATATATGTGTGTGTATATATATGTGTGTATATATATATATATATATATATATATATATATATATATAGCTTATGTTTCAAATATGAGTTAATTAACAATCGTTGGAAAGAATGATACTTTTAATATCACTAAACCGTCATAAGGTGTCGCCAGGCGACCGTCTTAATGAGCGAGTCATTGATTCATTCGTTCAAACGATTCGTTCGAACGGCTGAGTCATTCATGAATGAGACAGATTATGGATTGGTCGTTGAATCTTTGAGTCAACCGATTCGTTCAAAATGCTGAATCATTCAGTAATGAGAACGCGTTGCTGTGAGATGCTCGATGGTTCTGCTGTGATCTTTGTTTAACTATTTTCGCTGCTGAAACAGAAAAAAAAGTCAATATTGCATCTAAAATGTAAGTGATTTGACGTGTGTGTGTGTGTGTGTGTGTGTGTGTGTGTGTGTGTGTGTGTGTGTGTGTGTGTGTGTGTGTGTGTGTGTGTGTGTGATTGTGTCTGTTACAGTGATTGTTTAACCCTTGTTAAAGTTTAGGCCTTGTCTTTTTGGATATATATCTTTTTATATAAAAAAAAATAGCATACAACCCATATATTTTAAATGTATTGTTTGCTTTAAATTACATTGAGATTTGTATGTTTGGTAATTGAACCTGAATGAATTTTAAATGAATGTGCTATATTTCAGATCATATATTTGTTTTCCTTAAAATTTGAACTAACACTAACTTTATTCTCATCTGAATGATAGATTATTTATTTATGTATAAAATAAAAACACATTTGATTTTTCTTTTTTAATCAATGTAGAATGTGTAACTGAAAAAATAAACAGATTAGGGCTCTGATCGAGGACAATAAATGAAAACCAATGCAATATGATGAATGTCCAAAAGATTTTTTTTGCTTTTAAACTATGTGTGTGTGTGTGTGTGTGTGTGTATGTGTGTGTGTGTGTGTGTGTGTGTGTGTGTGTGTGTGTGTGTGTGTGTGTGTGTGTGTGTGTGTGTGTGTGTGTGTGTGTGTGTGTGTGTGTGTGTGTGTGTAAGAGATTTCGGTTGGGTGACAGTTGTAGTTTACAGTTTGACAAAAGCACAATGTTGTGTTTTATTGTGATTGTACACAAATATAAGTAAACACTTTGCAGTTTGAATAATGTCCTGTATGAACAAAAGGACGGGGTATGTTTTTATGTCTACATTGTTCAATCACGCCTCACACACACACACACACACCAACTATTTTTCTAATCAGATCAGGCAAGTAATATTCTGTCTTGGCACACTTCATATAACTTTCAAACTTGTGTACTTATTTCATGTGTGCATTAAGTCCATGAGACCGTAGGGTGTCTCATTTTTCATTTTAGGTTTCAGAAGGTTGCTCACGCATACTTTGTGGTTGATATGTGCCCTCAATGCACACTTTTGCAGAGCCCACACCAATGCAAGCTCTACAGTACACATCTTCTCAAAGGTCAAAGCGGAGTTACGATATTGCCCGTCATGCACAGTAACCCTAAAGGCACCGGGGTGGCGGTGCCACCGGCTTGTTTATATATATATATATATATATATATATATATATATATATATATATATAAATATAGCTGCGAGCAGCGATGAAGGGCCAAAGCCGGCGGCACCGCCACTCCGGTGCCTTTAGGTAACTAAAGGCACCGGGGTTGCGGTGCCACCGGCTTGGGCCCGTAATCGCTGCTCGCAGCTATATTTATTATTATTATTCTTCTTATTATTTTTCTGCTACCTTTTGGACACTTTTGGAGGCCTTAACATGCTCAAAAACTCCTGAAACTTTGCACACATGTCAGAACCCGCGGCCATCAGGGCCGGGCTGAAGATGGTACCCGGGCGTGGCAGGGGGGCTCGACAGCGCCCCCTGGAACGGGGTCCGAAAACATGGTCCATAAATCAAACA